GCACAATATCACCGCTTGGAGAAGATGGATATCCAGGGCGGGTGCGGGGGAAGGGGGAAGGGCGAGAGCAGCGAGTGGAGGGGTGAGACAAGGACAGGAAAATAATGGAGTACCTCAAAGTTTGATGCAAAAACGCATGATCGCACCGGCTCCTGGTGCGTTCCAGCCTGGGTTTTATTTGCGCATGTGCCAAGTGTTTTGCTAGAAACTACCAGCATATTTCAGGACACGTATACGTGAAAGGTTTGTACGACCAGCAGGGTTGCCGATCAGATGAAGGCGGCCGTCAGGTAGCTGGTATTGAGCTGCCGTTTGACACATGTAACGTTGCACGTACCAGATCTCTCAATCCACGAGGAGTATTCGTTACGGCAACCGTTGTCATCTCCTTCCACCCGCTGTTTATCACGAAAGTTGATCGAGCTTATCGGGTTCAGTGCTTCTACATGGAGGCCGACAAAACAGTGAGCACGCAGATTGAAGTGTCCGAGATCACAACAGTCTTCCAAACACAAGTGGTACCAATGCCTGTTTGCCGCTACGAGGTGTGTTGCTGGTTACTTCTAATTCTGTTTTTTACTTTCATACAGTTCCGCTGGGTCTTAAAATTACATTTACATTTCAGCCACTCTTCTTAACCTTCTCCCCTCCCCTGCCTCCTCAGTTTCCCCCATACAAAGCATGCTAATGCACTTGCTTTCGACCCAAGCTTTGTACTTTTGGAAAACGGACTACTAGAAGCGTTCTTGCGGTTTGTTTTCGGGAAAGCTTAAATAACAAGCCCTCATGCTGCTTCTAAGAAAGCTTCGGGAAAGGGAACCATTGACGACTGTCAGAACTCACTACGTGAAGTTACTTCATCTCATTCCCGATACTATTGTTGTGGTTGGCACTGCCATCGCAGAAAGCAAATACGAATGCCTAAGACTGAGCATACCATAAGTCTAGCGTACAAATTATTTTGCCTGTTTTAAACAGCTCAGTCCGCTGCAACAATGACAGAATGTTCGGTGGAGGGTTAAAAATTCGTTGTCAAACGATGAAGACAGTCCGGCTATCCAAGATTTAAGATATGAAGACCAAATCTGATTAATTTGCAGATCCTGGAAGGTGGCCCCACCGGGCAACCAGTCCAGTATGCGACCATTGGCCAACAAGTTTATCACAAATGGACTTGTGATTCGGAGACAGTGGACACATTCTGCGCCGTAGTGCACTCCTGCTTTGTTGATGATGGGAATGGCGACACGGTACAAATCTTGAACGATGAAGGCTGCGCTCTGGATAAATTCTTGTTAAATAATTTGGAGTATCCGACCGATCTGATGGCGGGGCAGGAGGCTCACGTGTACAAGTATGCGGATCGCTCGCAATTGTTCTATCAGTGCCAGATAACGATCACAATCAAGGAGCCGAATGCGGAATGTGAACGACCAAAGTGTGCGGAGCCACAAGGATTTGGCGCAATTAAACAGGCAGGCGGTTCTGCTACTGCATCTGTGACACGACCAGAAACAGGCGGTACTGTGGCTCAGCTGAGGTTACTGAAAAAGAGGGCTGCCAACTATGATACAACTTTGGATGTCAGAACTGATATCAGCGCACTGGATATAATTGATGAGGTAAGCCCTTTTTATTCCAGCATTTTAGGCAAAAAGTCGAGAAGGCTGAAGTAGGGGGTATTTGAAAAATTTAAGCAGGCTTGATATTCTTTCTTAAATTTATCCTAAAAATAACGGACGAGCGTCTTTTATATTTTCATCAAACACTTTAAAACTCGTTCGGTCCGTTTATGCGTAATCGGAATGCTTCCTAAGAAACATTCTGCAAAAGTTGCACTACTACTACTACAGCTAAGGCTTGAAACATAGACTACACCAAAATTTTTTGATCGGTGCATGCTTTACTTAGCTTCAGTCTCGATTTTTTTTACGTTTGCTGTACAACGCTATAGAGCTGCTACTATGAGCAAAAACGCACATTGTCGAAATGTCGTCTATGTGTGTGTGTGTGTTTGGAAGCAAGTGGACTTAGTCACGCATTTCCAAATCAGCAACCAGGGAAATTTAGGGGGCTGAAATTTCGGGGTCATATTCTTACCACTTGTGTCACTCTCCCGTTTTGAAATCATCCCTCATACGCACCTGGACCTCGCGTAGAAACCAGAAAAAAAATTGGCCAACGCACGGGCTGCCCGTGCGAAGATGCGTTTTTTGCAGAGTTCCCCGCA